ATACTAATTAAGGTGGATCTTGTATTTATACATATACACAACTCATTGTTTTGAATTCAGCAAACATAACATTACATTATTTTCAGATTCCATGCACTTAGAAAAATAACAATGACTCTAAGGATGTCCTAGATTATATCAACGAGGGAAACTCATTGACCAGACCATATCCTTTTGCAAAGAGGACTGCTCAGATGTATCACCAACATTATTTCTTAGCGGTAGGAGCTCTGAGGGTTMATATAATAAATTCATGCTCTCTTCTTCTGTTGKTTCAACCCATGGGTGCTTTTCTAATCTTCTCAATCCCTGTAGCTCCAATGCCACTTCATTCATAGTTGGCCTTTCTTCACCCTTTACATTAAGGCATCTTTTTGCAAGCTCAGCAACTACAACAAGTTCTTCAGTATTCTCCTCATCCACAAATCGATTCTCAATTAGCTCAAAATGACGRTTTTCWTTCATCAATGAAATAAAGTATATAGCTAAGTTTCTTTGCTCTTGTGATCTTTYAAAAGAAAGAGGTTTCTTACTTGTTAARAGCTCTAYAAGAACTACTCCAAAGCTATAAACATCGCTTTTCTCTGTTAATTGACTTGTGTGAAAATACTCCGGGTCCAAATACCCTAATGTCCCTTGAACCAATGTAGTTATTTGAGCTTGATCTGCGGGTAGTAACCTTGAAACTCCAAAATCAGAAATTTTTGCTGTATAATTTTCATCTAATAATATATTTGTGGATTTGATATCCCTATGAATGATTGGTATAGAAATTGCAGAATGTAGATAGGCAAGTGCTCCAGCAATCTCTGTTGCAATCCTTAACCGGTCTTCCCATGAAAGCAAGATGCCACCATTTTTATGAATATGTTTGAAAAGGTTTCCATTGGATACATATTCATAAACTAACAAGGGTACTTCAGTTTCTAAACAACACCCCAAGAGCTTTACCACATTTCGGTGGTTAATTTGAGTGAGAATGACAACTTCGTTTATAAATTGCTCAATTTGGCTCTCATCCATCATTATAGACTTTTTAATGGCAATTAATTGATGATCAGGTAAAATGCCCTTATATACTGTACCTTGTCCACCTCGGCCTATGATGCATTCCTCATTATAATTATTGGTTGCCAATTTTAGCTCTTCTATTGAAAAGATCTTCAAGACCGTTGAACACCCATTGGAAGATAATTGTTGTTGCAAAAGTAGGCCACCATTTTGCTCAAAGAACTTCTCTCTTAATCTCATCAGTTTTCTTTTGCTTGTGATGAAGTATAACCAAGAGATACAAATGAGCAAAAGCAAGATTGCAAAGCTTATACCTGGATAAGATATATGTTAATTACTAGTTAACAAAATTGCTATAGAAAGGAAAAGGAATCAATAATATACATTAATTGTAGCATTGTAATTTATTGAAGAAATATGATTTCCTACATGGACTAATAGCAAGACCTATTCTATAAATAATAAAAAGGAAACCAGCTATAATATGCAAAGTTTCACATAGTTTTAATTTTTTTTTTTCTGCTTTATTCTCCTACAGCATTTGCATAAAGCATATAAGCAATACATTAGATCCATAGGGTCGACATGTGAAATCTATGTTCGTGTCAATATGAAAATCCATTTTTTCAATTTTTCCTATGTATATTAATTTTGTTTGCTAGCCAAAATACAGTCAATGTATTACTTGCTTAAATGGGAAATATACGTCAATAAATAATGTTTCTAATTTCATTCACAACAAAGGAAATACAATATTCTTTCTAGTCAATTTCAAGAATTATGTAAAAACTATAATTTTATGTGGTATATCATACCATAAGCTTGATGATTGATGAAAATTTGCATTTAAAGTTGTGCTTTGTCAAGCCATTACGTATTGATGACTTCAAGTGCAACATGCATCAATAGGTGGGAGAAAATTGTTTTCAGCATAATACTGAAACAAATAATTATATATCATATATTATTGCATTCATGA